GTTCCAGAAACGACTAAATGAGCTGCATTCGCTTTGGGATCAGTTGTTCTTCAAGCTCAAAGACAAAGGCATCAAGTTGCAACAGGCGCTCAAGCTACTCCAGTTCATCAGACAATGCGATGAAGTGTTGTACTGGATTCGCGATAAGGAAGCGTTTGTTACAGCTGAAGATTTTGGCCAGGATTTGGAACATGTTGAGGTCCGTATATTAAAAAAAAAAAATTAAATTAGTACATTTCTCACATATATTTGTTTGTGGTATTTTTTTCTTATAGTTGTACGTTTTTATTCAGTTCTTCGAAACAGAAATGAAGTATTTCCAGGTTCTGCAAAGAAAATTTGAGGAATTTTTGAAAGAGCTCGGTAATCACCATTATCGCATCACTGAGGTCAATCAGGCTGCTGATAAGCTGATCGAGGAGGGCCACACCGAGCACGAAACAATCAACAAGAAGAAGGATGAGGTGAACGAAGCATGGCATCGTTTGAACACGCTCGCTGCAACTCGGTAGTTTTCCGAGTCATTTTTAGGATACTGTAGTTTCAGGCTACCGTAGTTTCGTGCTACCGTAGCCTCCCTCTGTTTTTCTTACGGTGGCACAGTTTCTTGTCTTAAACCCATTTTGATTCGCTTAAATGCGTTGGCTACGATATGTGATCTTTTCTGATGCTGCAACATCCGGCTTTCTTGAACCCCGTTATGATTCGCATGAATGCTGTTCTAAAAACGTGACTAGTACGGCCTCAGATTTGTTCTCTGAGCAGTCCCGGAAACAGGGAGATATTCTGTATTGGTAGGAGGGCTTTCCTCCGATTTCACGGAGTTCCCTGACAGGAATTTGACGGAAAGAAGTTTCGTAAAGTTTTGTAAGCGATTGAAGGGAGTTTACTTATGTTTGTTTAAAAAATGCTCTGCTCTGTTGATAAAACACAATGCTACGTATGAGTTGTTAGATCGACAGATGTCTGGCATCATCCCTCATTGGTTTTTCAGTTTTAAATTTTAGAATGAACTGGAATTCGACTAAATTCGTTAAATTGCGAGTAAAGAATTCTAAAATTTGACCAAAAATTAACGAATTTGAAGCAAATTTCTTGATTCTGTAGGCCAAAAATTAACGAATTTGAAGCAAATTTCTTGATTCTGTACGCCAGAAATTAACGAATTTGAAGCAAATTTCTTGACTCTGTAGGCCAGAAATTAACGAATTTGAAGCGAATTTCTTGATTCTATAGGCCAGAAATTAACGAATTTAAAGCAAATTTCCTGATTCTGCAGACCAGAAATTAACGAATTTGAAGCAAATTTCTTGATTCTGCAGGCGTGAAGGATTGTTTGGAGCGCATCAGGTACAACGTTTCAACAGAGACATCGACGAAACCCTGGCATGGATTGGTGAAAAAGACGCTACCCTGTCAACCGATGATTATGGACGGGATTTGAATAACGTGCAGGCGTTGCAGCGCAAGCATGAAGGAACGGAACGTGATTTGGCTGCATTAGATGCCAAGGTGAGCATCCCATGGGTTTTAATACTTTTTACCGCTTTGCGAGTGTGTGTAATTTCCATTGAAATACCTAAGAGTAGCGTTTTAACCTTTTTCGGCTTCAAGTAAAAGTAAAGACTTATTAAGTGGATTAATCCATCTTGTAACGAGAAGGAGGAGAGCAGCCGGAGGCCTGAACGGCTGTGAGATGCCTCTTGCTCAAACTAACAAACAATTCTTTATTAGTAAAGCAGCGCAAAACCCAAAAAAAGGCAAGAAAAAAAGCCGCGGAAAAACACAGAAACAAAAATACATAAAAAAAATATGGACAAGACCTTGTCAAAATAATTTTTTAATTTATGCAAAAAACACAAAACATGGAAGCTTACAACAAATAACATAAAGTGGAGAGTGGATGGCCAAAAAGGCAGTGTCCGGACATCAGATGTGTGCATCAACACGGGGGGCCGGATCCTAACAGTTTCCAGCAGTTTCTGTGCAGGAAGGGCAGACTCGAACACATCACCGCGCATATTGTATAAAACCAAAATTGGTGCGGTGATGTGTTCGAGTATGCCCTTCCTGCACAGAAAGTGCTAGAAACTGTTAGGATCCGGCCTACCCAGTAGCAGCTCCAGGCTGCCGCCTCACAACTTCAGAGGCACGAAAACAATTTCATGTTCATTTCTAATCACCACATTAAATATCACGGAGGGGGAACTCGAGTCAGAATGTGCATAACACAAAGAATCGAAGGGCAACTGGGCAAGACGAGGTGGTTTAACTGTCAACGTCGTTTTCTTGCTGCTAGCACCTTCCTTTGCATTATCTTATTTTAGTTTTTACTCGTTTTGACGCTTTTTTTGATTAGTTGTTCATTCATTGCGTCCGTTTTTGCCAGTGATGTTTCGATTAGCAGCCTCTATTGCTACGTAATTTAGCACTCTCTTATTTTTTCAGTCTGCATTTACCAAGAATGGTTTTGTTCACGCGGCTTTAGAAGTGGAAGAGCGATGTGGAATTCTAGGGGGTACCGGGATTTCTAGTGGATCAGTCGCAGCCATAACAATAGGATAAAAATGAGCATAGATCTTTTTTTCTGAAAAATGGATGTTTTTTTCTTTTAAAGATGAATTCGTTGTCGAATGAAGCGGAACGACTTGCGCAAGTTCACCCGGACCGAGCCGATGCAATTATGGCAAAGATGAATGAAGCAAAGGAGCAGTGGGGTGCACTGAAGCGCAAAGCACAAGCACGTAAAGATGGCCTCGATCGATCTTATAATCTCCACCGGTCAGTTTTTTCTTTCCACTTAAGCGCCCTAAATTTGCTGTGCAATGATTTCTGTAAGAATCCTTAGTAAATCAAAAATTGAGTAACTGCTGAAGAAAGGAGTAAAGGTGAATCAGGAAAATATTGAAGTTTATATGAAATATGGAAAGCTGAACTTGAAAGTGTCAAAAAGTACCATTTAATTTTGAACTGGATATCTCTGAACCCGAGAGTACTGGCCTTGGAAAACTCCTATAAAATCCATTCTTGGTATACCTTTTGCTGCTCTCGTGACGGTTATGAACAGGCTTCGCGGAAACGGCTAATGCATGTGCGAAACGATGCACATCAACAATGACTGTATTGCACATCAATTCTTTGGATGGTTTTTTATGCGTTTTATGCTGTGTAACAGCAGTACAAAACCCATATTATCATGGGGTTGTCTGTGTGTATGTGTGTGTATGTGTGGCTGAGTGTATGTCTGTGTGGCTGAGTGTATGTCTGAGTGCGTTTTGTCTCTCACTTTAACTCAGGAATCACAAAAGCTAGGCGGCTGAAATTTTAGTAGAATGTTCCCCTCTAACGTGTGGCCTGCAAATTTGAATTCAGCCTTTCCGTACCCGCGGGCAACACGTACGGCCCCGTAAAAGTTTTGGCGGACAAAATTATTACCAACGGAACCATAAAACCTAGGAAGCTCAAATTTTATAGGTAATGACTCCCTGCTCAAGTACGACCTCGCAAATTCAAATTCAGTGTTCCCACGCTCTCCAGTATCACCTACCGCCCTGTGAAACTTTTGGCGAATAAATTATTATCTCGGGACCCACGGAATCTAGGGAGCTGGAATTTTGGGGAACTATTCCATGCTCATGTGCAACCCCTCAAATTTAAATTCAAAGCGGCGAAAACCATTAACAGGCAATCGTTCGGTGGACGGAATTGCATAAAACGCATGTTTGCACCGGCTGCCCCGGTGCGCGTCGTTATTTGTTATTAAGTATGTGGTTTTTGTCTGCGGGAAGACTGAGATGTAAGCAGGAAAAGAAAAACCCGAATTACCAACATCTTGATCGCCGGGTAATTTAGCTTCGATTATACGAACGATGAGAATATTTCCAGCTGATTGTTTTGCATGACGGTTGCCGCGATTATCTAAATGTAATCAAAATTACTTTATCTGGTTAGCCGGCAGTCAAGGCTGTATTATCCACTTAGCTGATAACCAAAGCTACACTACCCGGTTGATATATTTTTGCGGCGGGAAGATGGATACTAACTGGGATGAAGCAACTGAAATTTGTCCTGAGAGGTGTCAGGAACTTTCAGTTTCATATATTTCATGAAAAATCACAGTTACTGTTAAGCGTGATATTAGAAAGGAAGGAGAAAAGCTAGAAAAGCACAGCCGTTTGGGCTGTACGATACAATAGATTGGCAATGCGTAAGGCATTCGAAGCACCTTATATATGTATTGTCTTATTGGTAGTAAAGGTATATTTTTGGGCTCATATGGCCAGTGATAGTTTTTTTTTGAGTAGGTCTACGGCGTAAGTCGTTCAGTCGGTAGGATGTTCCAATATGCCATCAGTTAGTTTCAGGAAAATCTAGGTTATAGAAATGTGTGATAGAAAAAATAATTGGCCAACGAACGGGCTGTCCGTGCGAATATGCGTTTTTCGCATAGTTTCCAGCAGTTTTAGTCGCTACCGGCATCGGTTTTTTCGGCAAATGCTTCTAGCTGAACAAATTAAGACTGGCCGCCAAAACAGGCAGGAAACACCCCCTTAAAATTTCAGCTTTCTAGCTTTCCTGGCTCCTGAGTTATCACCTACTTGGACAGGGATCATCACCCTAAGGTTTCAGCGTTCTAGCTTCTCAGATCCCTGAGTTATGAACTTACCCAAAAAAACTTTGGTAGACCTGTATGCGGGTACCACGCGGGTGATAACGCCAATTTTGGGGATTGGGGCCGACAAATGCATGTAGATTAAGTTCCCGAAATTTCAGTTCTGCAGCTTTTATAGGTCTTGGGATGAAAGTGCGTGACAGACGCACACACAGACACACGGACACACTGACAACCTCACGTCACTATGCGTTTTTGCATTGCATAGCTGCAGAAAACCCATAAAAACGAATGTAAATGTGTTTTTTCGTGAGAAATGTTGTTTCCGCAGTAGCAGGTATTAGTTTCTTGCATTTCCTTTCTTGATTTTCAGATTTCTTGCCGATTATCGCGACCTGTGCTCATGGATTAATGACATGAAAGCGGTAATATCAGCTGATGAGTTGGCCAAAGATGTTGCTGGCGCAGAAGCATTGCTCGAAAGCCACCAGGAGCATCGGGTAATTCTTACATATCGGCGCAAATGTGCCCAGCGCACCTTCCAAAAACTTCATTTTTGGTAATTTCTCTTTTTCAAATTCTTTTTAGCTGTCATTTTGGTACAGCTGAAATGCATTAAATCCAATTGTTCTTGATTGTTCTGAATTTATGAATGTCACTTTTTTCATCGATGCTTGTTGTGCAGGGCGAAATTGATGCTCGTGAAGATAGCTTCACACAAACTGCAGAAGCAGGCCAG